TTCCAAGGAAGCCACTTCAGTGTGCCAATCACACAGAGTTTCATTTGCCTCCACTCATTAAGCCAAGAACTACATTATCAACTATCCTCCAGTCTCCAAAGCTCGGTGAACCTTTAGCTTCAAAGCAAATGCACTACATACTCAACTGAACAAAACCCCACAACGACAATAACCAGATATATTTTGTTATGTTAATGTTAATTGTACACTTTACGCCCATCACAAAAAGAACTCCAGATGTACAGTAACATATACACTGAACAGATGCTCATGCTGAGTAGATTCTTTAACATATCAGAATCCATCATTTTTATTTCCAAATAAATCAAGATACTTAAAAAAAAAACAACAACAAAAAAAAAAAAAAAACCCAACATTTTAGTTTCATTCATCTATTCTTGCCTTGGATACTGCAGTACAGTTTGACAGAAGTCAGACAGAGGGGCCTCGTTAAGTAAAGTATGCAAGTGTACCCAGGACTTCAACATGTAAACCTTCTTACTGCCTCTGAGGTGAACACAAGCATGCTGCATTTGAAAAAAAGCATGTTTAAAAAAGTTAAAATTCTGAAAAGTGTATCTAAATAAACAGCATCAATTTTCTATTACTAATGAAGTGCAGCAATGCTACTTTGCAATTATGTGCCCTCTTTCATCAGATGATTATTGCTTTACAAATAGTACCTAGGAAAAGGTTAAATATTACAGATAGGAAAATTTGGCGCACAACAGTCAAATTCTCAGAAACTCCATTTTCAACTGGATTACAGAAGATTAGACTTCCCAGCTCTCACCAGTCTAACCATTACGAGAACACTATCATGCAAGACAGGTCACTGAAGCAGCTGAGGATATGTGTGGACATACCATAAGGAACATGCTGCAGAGTGACCACAAAGACAAATGTGCTAATAAGAATAAAACTATTTGTGGAATAATACTTCCAAAATTGATCAAAAATGTTCGTTGTGATAAAAAAGCATAAAAGGGGAATACACGCAGGACAGAAACATTGTGGAATTAAACAGTTCTAATGATGGCATGGCTTAAATGAATCAACATTTATTTTACTATTTAATAGTCACATTATTTCATACACATATATTTCACATTATTTCATACAATGCTATCAAAGGAAATGCATTCATAATTGGAAGCAGTAACACAACAGGGAGCATGCTGTTTAGCCAAGACACACTGAAAAGCACAAAGTGCCTCCCATTACTTCAGTCTACTCAAGACATATATGTTTTGGCCAATGCACACCCACTTCAGAGAATGGTGGTGTGCTTATAAAAATGGTCGCTTGGAAAAAAAAAAGCCACATAATCCATGAAAAGAATAGCAGCTACAGAATTTAAAGACTTAGAAAATACTGGCCCATCAAAGGAAATCTTTCCCTTGTCATGTCCCTGATACAACCATTTAAGAAATAACAGCAGTATATGCCTTACTTCAATACCAGAACAGCCATATTAAATAAGTACCACAAAAATACCAGGCATGAGTTGCTTTCTTAATTCCCTAATTTTTCTTCTGGCTCCTTTTTTGTCTCTAAATTCATCCATGCACACTTCTCACTTTATCAGAAATAGCATAAAGACTCCAAAAAAAAAAAAAAAAAGAAAAATAAATTATAGCTGTGAATCAGCTCTGAAGATAATCATCATGAAGAGATGCAATTTGAGAAGGCAGGGTTAAGGAGATATTAACACACCTGATAAGAAAATCATCAGATTTGCCTCAGTGAACCAACTAAGCCTACACACATATTTGCAGATGTTCTGAAAAAACTGTCATCTAGATACCAGTCTTAATCCTGAAAAATTCCACTTCATGGCCACAGGTGGAAGCACTAATGACGGAGAGCTTTAGGCTCAACGAGGTCTCCAGAAAACCTGTGCAGAACAGCTCTCCACAGCTGGAGACTCTTAACACCCTGATTCACTTGTGCCCTGCTGCCATCAGCAAACCCAGAGTGGCTTGGGCTGCCTTCTGGAGCTGCATGGTTGCTAGCAGCAGGGAACGATGAAGGAAAAGCTACAGTAGAAGACAAACACATCTATTAGCTTATTTACTCCTTGTTCAGAGTCCTGTCTTTAAAGTTCTGCAAATACTATTTTTCCTTGTGTTTTTAACCTAGATTTAAGCTAATTTTTTCATTAATTTAATTTTGTGCCAGATTTTAAGAAAGCAATCTTTATTTGCCTAACACAAGTTACTAAGTTATTAAAACAACTAAACATTCGATAATCTTCCCAAACAGCAAGAGAAGTACTAAATGTTTTTTCAGCTATGGAAAGAGGTTGGTTTATAACCCTAACAGATTTTTTTAAAAAAAAAAGTATTATTAGATTCAACAGAAAAAAGACCAACCCACTTAAAAGGCACACTAATGGAAAAACTTGTATTGTCAGGGTCTAGTTGTATAGTTACAAACAAAACTATTTTATACATAGTTACCTCATTAGTGTAGAGTTGCAGATATCTCCCAATATCAAAAGTATATTAAATTTTGCTGAAATAAAAGTGTTGCAGTAAAACTTTCAGCTTAAAATTCTGGCCTTATTTCTTCAAAGTAACACATAAGAATTAGTGAACCAGGAAACAACATATAGTACATCTAGATAAAACAGCCAGTTTCATAACACTGTGAATTAAATGCCTATCATTAAAAGGAATTTTGAGGTCAAAATCCACCTTTTTTATATATTTCTTAAGCACATAGGACAATAAACACTTTCTTACAAAACTGAATACAAGACAGTCTACAAAACCTTAACTGCCATTTACAAGCTCAACAAAGAAAATAAAATTAAGTAGCCAAAATGAACAGAGATCAGCAAACCAAAACTGTTTTCTAAAGCAATACATACTTAAGTGCTTACAGAAGAAAATTCAGTGCTCTCCTAAAATGCAAACACCCCCCCGAGCTACAAAGACACACTTGTGGTGCCAATATGAATATGGCTTCTACTTACTGTTAATATTACAAGTTTTATATTTCATTTTTGTTAAAGCAGTGCTGTCAGTACTTCACAAGTGTATTTTACCTGAATTTTCATCATGCCTATAAATCCTAGTTAACTAGTGTTTTGTACAGTACCTTGTAAAGTAACCCCTAAATATCTTTAAATCAGAATTCTCCACGAAGTACACTTGATGCAATACTATTACATCTTCATTTTGCATAGCCAGACATGACTTCTTCAGGTGGCTTCAGGAACTTCACTGGCCCAACTCCTCTACCCCACCCACATATTCTGACTGCAACGCCACTGCCTGCCTTTGGCTCCCCAGCTCACTTGGGCAACTGCTTGTCTCGGTGCTAAGCAGTTCTTTGCTCCTCTGGAGACTAATAGCCCTGTACTAGAAACTACTGATAAAGGTATTTCATTCAACTTCAAAAAAAAAAAAAATAGTATAATGCTAGGTCCAAGTTAAGAGTTCCTGAGTAGACTTCAAGCTACAATGTTTAACTTGCTGTACTTTTTTTTTTTTTTTTTCTGATGGCCAAGTGTCTGTGCTTCACACTCTTTAGTCTTTGAAACCAAGTAAACGAAGGGCTGGCTACATTTAAAACGGGGACGTTAAACTCTCCCTGGTACAATATATATATATATATATTTTTTTTTTTTTTTTGTTTTTTTTTTTTTTTTTTTTTTTTTGCTTAAGCTTTCCCAGGATCAGCGTCAGCTCCAGCAGCAGGAAATCAGACAGAGAAAATAAAACATCCCACGGGTGTGTGTGCGCAGAGAGCGATCCCGGCAGATCCCCCGGGAGAGCCCCCTTCCTTACTGCCCCCGGCACAGCCAGAAACCCTTCGGAGGAGGAGCGGAGATTTAAGAAAAGACCTAACGCAAGGCAGACACAGGCGCGGAGACACTGTCTGTCTGTCTGTCTGTCTGCCTGCTTGCTGCCAATTCTTCGTATTAAAAAAAAAATACAATACAATACGGAATTAGCCAGCGTTCCGGGGTGCTTTTAGAGACAAAGCATGTAAATAGCTGCTTCCAATTAGGGGCGACAGCTCAGAACGCTTTACTGGTCAGAGCAG